CAAATTTCTTTTCTAAAATTAAATCTCTATGGACATCAAAAGGCTTCTCCAAGAGAATAAAAGAGAACCGACACACTGAGAAAATGATATTCGGCAACAACGTATCTGACAAGAGACTCATCTCTAAAATGCATAGAAAACTCCAACGCCTCAACAAGAAAAAGAACAAACAATCCTATTCTAAAATGGGCAGGTGAAATGAAAAGACACTTCACCAAAGACGACATCCGGATGGTCAATAAGCATATGAGGAAATATTCAAGATCATTAGCTGTCAGAGAGACACAAAACAAAACAACAATGAGAGATCAATTTGCCCAACAAGAATAGCAATGTACAATATGACAGCTCATAACAAATGCCGTTGTGGTTGTGGAGAGATTGAAGTCTTTATACTTTGCTAGTGGGAAGGTAAATTGGTGCCACCATGATGGAAAGCAGTTTGGTGCTTCCTTAAAAAGTTGAAAATAGAAATACCATTTGATCCAGCAATCCCATTACTAGGTATATAGCCTAAAGAATTAAAGCTGTCTTTTCCTGTGAGCAGCTTCAGGTAATCTGCCAACATGGTTCGCTACTTGCTTGACCCGGAAAACCCCACAACATCATGCAAATCAAGAGGCTCAAATCTCCGGGTCCATTTTAAGAACACCTGAGAAACTGCCCAGGCCATCAAGGGTATGCATATCCGGAAAGCCACCAAGTATCTGAAAGATGTCACTTTGCACATGCAGTGTGCGCCCTTCCGACGATACAACGGTGGAGTTGGTAGATGTGCCCAGGCCAAACAGTGGGGTTGGACACAGGGTCGGTGGCCCAAAAAGAGTGCCGAGTTTTTGCTGCATATGCTTAAAAACGCCGAAAGTAATGCTGAACTTAAGGGTTTAGATGTTGATTCTCTGGTCATTGAGTACATCCAGGTGAACAAAGCTCCCAAGATGCGCCGTCGCACATACAGAGCTCATGGTCGGATTAACCCCTACATGAGCCCCCCCTGCCATATTGAGATGATCCTTACTGAAAAGGAACAGATTGTTCCTAAACCAGAAGAGGAGGTTGCCCAGAAGAAAAAGATTTCCCAGAAGGCTCGAGAATAAATAAGTCATTAAATAAAAAAAAATAATAATAAAATAAAAAAAGAATTAAAGCTGTGATGCTGTTGATTACCACTGAGTTGGAACCAATCCATAGCTGACCCTGAAATGGGTTTTCAGAGGCAGTAGATGGCACAGGAGGAGAATGTCCACCTTTCTCCCACAGATCAGCTGGTGGATTTGAACCGTGTACCTTATAAATATACAGAAATGATGAACAGAGTTCAGGTCTTTTGTGCAAAACTTACTGTGAGTCGTATTCGACTCGACAACACTTAACCACTGCTAAATGGGACTAGTGCTGTTATATCTGGAGGAACATTTTTCCACTTTGCACATCACTCTTTGTTAATGTGCAGTATGGAGTAACCTGGGTTTCCTGTGATGCTCAACCTTGTGCCATGGGAATATCAAATACCATAATGGTTTCCCATTGTGGATAGTGTCTGGTGGAGCTCCCAGTTGTAAAACAGGTTTGGAAGCAGGAGAAACATCTACTTCCTAAACCACATGCCTCTGGAAACTCTATGGATTTGGAGAAACAACGATAGCTTATGGAAAGGCATTAGATGTTTTGTTTAGAGTGGCTATGAGTCGCGCTCGACCTGACGGCAATCAACAACAACAACAACCTTGTGTTGGCAGTGCAATATGCATACCCATGTTTATTAGAGCACTCTTTACAATAGCAAAGAGATGGAAACAACCCAAATGTCCAACAAGGGACAAATGATTATTCACACTACACAGTACTGTATAATACAAAAAAAAAAACAAAGAATTTGCAAAATATTGTATAACATATACAAATTTAGAAGACATTCTGTTGAGTGAAATAAGTCAGTCGCCAAAGGACAAATGCTGAGCAGGGAGTTATGCTGCTAACATAAAGGTGGCATCCAACATAAAGGTGGCATCCCTCTTGAGGTTCAAATCCCTCTCAAATCTCCCCCAATTCAGAAAACCCAGCAGGGGGTCAGCTCAGAGTCGGTTCCAACTTGATGATGAGTGAGTGACTGTAAAAAGCTAAAGAAAGGCCAGCACACAGATTCATTTGGGGATGGAAAGGACAGGAGAAGGGAGTAAAATGTGAGAAGCAAAACCTTCTTAAGGTGGGTGCTCCAGACTACAGAAGAATCCCGCTGACTCACCACCAGATGCTGGTTCTACTAAAAAAAGTCAAGGCAGAAATGTTGATGACCTCAAAATAAAAGAAATAAATAAACAAAGAATGTTGAGTGATTTCTTAAAGAAAAAATTCAAAGTAAGGGTGTACAGCCGAATCATCTGTGAAAGAGGAATTCTTATTAGAACAAAGAAAAAGTGAAAATGAAAACATGTAAAATCTACCAAGAAGTCTTTGGATTCAAAA